GCCAGGTCTGCTCCCACCCAGCACAGCCATAATCTCCTCCAGCTGCCGCTGCTGTGCCAGCGAGGGAGGGAGAGAGGGGGAACAACAGGAAAATAACTCTGGTTATTTGCCTCAAATTCTGCAACTCGAGAGGGGAGAGAGAGAGATGACAGCTTGAAACAGAAATTTGTTTCTGGGCCGGGCAAGGAATACATGTCTGCTCCCTCCCCAACACAACCGCAGCCCGCAGCTCCAGTGCAGGCGTTTCCGCTCCCCGGGGGCTCCGTCCCCGTGCTGGGCTCCCTCCCTGGGGAGGGAGGCGTTCGTCCAAGGTCCTGCTTCCCTAGGAATCGCCTGCCCCTCCGGCCCCAGTGCCAAAAGCAAACCTGATGCCGGCTGTCGCTCCTCAAGCCGCACGGGGATGGGACGCGGGGTTTCCAACACCACAGGGGCTGGTTGCTCTTTCCAGCAGAGAAAATGGGATTTAAACAATTCCCACCAGCATCACTGTAGCATTTCCCCACATCCCAGACTGATTCATCTCATTATTCGTGACCTTTCTCGCTGTGAGTCACTGGGACGGCGTTTTGGCCCCAGGACTCCTGCCACACGCCAGAGCCCCAGGACTCCTGCCACACGCCAGAGTCCGGCACAAGGCTGGCAGGGGGGAGCGATGCCAGTCACCCAAGCGGGAGAAAAGCAGCCGTCACTGCTGTCAGAAAGTCCCTGGGGATCACTGTCTGACGGTCGCTGCCACTATTGCAGCCAGATTCGGGTTTGCACTCCTGGAGCATGCGGCCAGGCTGGCAGTGTGCCTCCTGCGGGGCTGTGGCTACCGGGCTCAAAGGCCAGGCAAGAACCCTGGGGACCTCGAGCCAAGGCAGTGCAAGTCAGTGCAGGGAGGGTTTCTGGAGAGGCTGCAAAGTATCTCAGATCCTGCACACAGGCACCCGGACACCACCTATAGTGTGGACAGAGCTGCACGACACGCTCAAGTGTAGAATAAAGTCCATTTATTTCGTAGCAAAGGGCAATGTAAGAGCTTACATGGTCCCTTGCCACTGCCTGGGCACAAACCCCTCTGCTCCTCCTGCTATGCCTGTCCAGGCAAGGGTCACACAGACCCCCCCAATGGGGCCAGCGTGCCAGGTGAGAGGTGGAGGCCCTCGCCATCAGCAGGAGCACTGAGCGCAGCCGGCGTGCAGGCAGGCAGGCTGGCAGGAGCTGTCCATGCTCCTCTGCCCCACGAGACCCAGAGGAACCGAGCATCCCATAGGGTCTTCCTACAATTTCAGCAGATATCCGATAGAGCAGAAGCTGGTGCCAGCTGCGTCTGCTGTGCAGCCAGGACGGGCTCCGTCACTGATGCTTTTAGCCAAGTCTCCAAATGCACAACCAGAAGCCGCATCCATCTTGCTTTGACCCTTCTTTCCCAACCACCCTGACAGCTGGGACTCCAAAGAAGAAATAACTTTGCCAGGCATTTCCACTCCTTGCTGCTCGTCTGGGAGGAGACGGGGTCGCCAGCAAAGGCGAGACCAGCCTGCCTGCCTTATGGGAGCAAGTCGTTTCTAGCTGGACATGTCCGCAAAGTCACACCTCTCCCTGCTGGTGCCCAGGCCACCATCTTCCTGATGGTCCCCATGAGCTCGGTGGGTAAACAGGAGGCAGTGGGTTCACTTGGCGAGAGCCTGGTACAGGGGCAGACAGCAGACAGCCGCGTGCTGGCCCACCCCGGCTCCTGCCTGTCTCTCCCCAGCTCTCGGGGTGCCCCATCAGGCTCTGTGGGATCCCTGGAACAGGGTCCCATGGCTGTGGCCCCCTGCCCGGCGAGCCGGCCAACCCTCTTTGCCTCTGCTGTAGCCTCACACAATGCCATTGCGCATGGGGTGAGTCCGTACCCGATAGATGATGACAGCAGTGGCCGGGCAGAGCACCAGGGCCGTCATGACGAGGATGGTCGCCAGGATGATCAAGACGATGACCCAGATGTCCAGGATGTGCTTGGGGAGGGCGGCGGGACCTGCAGGGTCAGGGAGGTCCATCCTGCAAGGGAGAGGCAGAGAG